TTTTTTATTGTAGCTCTCCTTTTATTGCTCCTCATAAATACTTCCTACTTTCTGAATCTCTTGAATTGTGTTGGTTGGCAGGAAGTGGAGCACCCTGTGTTTCAAATTAAGATCTGGACGGTTAGCTGCAGTTGGCGGAGGTCATCTCTGGGCGGGTCTGCTTTGGGCTCCCTCCAGCAGCTCTGCTAGCAGAGCCTTGGGAAGGAAACTGGAATCCTTCATGTCACACAGTTTAAGCAAGCCCCTCGCTCCTTTGCAAACACTAATGCTCAGTCGTCTCTATTTGGGACTGCATGGCCTTTACAGGCTGTGGTGCTTCTGGGCTTTGAACTGCATTTGTTGCTGTTGTAGCCGCGGAAGTAGAGTCAACGCCAAATACCGACACCTTTGTGTGATGCTCAGGCTTCCACTGGACCCCACTGCGTACTGTGCTGTTTAGACAGATGCGGAAATGACTAATAAGCCAGTGTCTTGAAGAGTTCAAGGTGTATTTCCCCAAGTGGTGTTCGGATGGCTCACCGCTCCCCTGCAGCAGTCACTGGCAACCGCGGCTGCTAAACTCGCCACCTATGTCCTGGCCCCCAGCCGGCTGCTAACTCAGTGGGCCCTGCCCTGGCTCTCTTCACCCTGAGCACCCTCTCCCTTGACCTCTTTCAGAGACTGCCAGTCGTTCCCTGCCTTCATTCCCTGCCTCCTTCTCCAGAGTCCTCTTCATACTGCTCTTTCTTGGTCTCCCTTTTGATCTCTTTTTCTGAGTATTTCTTAAAAAAAAAAAAAAAAAAAAAAGTGCTGATCTATGCTGTTCTGTGCATCCTCTGGGCAAGCCTGTCCAGCCAGGCTTAAATTGGCTTATCCTGGTTACGACGTCCATCCATGGAAATCACCCAGTGAGGTCAGGTGGCTGACCTGGATCTGATTCCCAGCTCCACCAGTTGTGTGACCTCAGGCAGGTCACATACACTCGCTGTACCAGTTTTCTCATCTATCAGATGGGATTACGAGTAATTAACGTGATAAATATCAAGCACAGTGCTTTGCCTTTTAACTGCTCCAAACTACCCTCTATTTTATCTTGCTAACATTTATTTATTAGTCAGGTTTCAGCTTCGACATTATTTCCTACAGGCAGCCTTCCGTATGTTCCAAGTGCAGTTAGCTCCCTGTCTTCAGAATAGGCGAATAGGGCCAGCAGGTGGCGCAGTGATTAAGGCGCTGAACTCGCTGAGTCCCAGACTTGGCAGCTTGAAAATCACGTCAGGTGTGTGTGCATGCATGCCCAAAATCCTGAAAGGAGAATGGAGAAGGGATGGCGGCATGGCCATCTCCTCCTTTGGGAGGGATTTCTCTCTCTCTCTCTCTCTCTCTCTATTTCTCTCTGTCTCTCTCTAGCCGGTGAACATGCTGGGTGGCAAAGAAACGTTAAAGGAGGGAGGGGGGGAATACCCTATTTCCCCATTTTGGTGTTCATCACTTTTCTTTTAAATGCTGATTTAACTGTATTTCTGATCTGTTCGAAGCTCTGTGAGGCTGAGTGGAGTCTGACTTGATCATCATTGTGTCCCCAGGGTCTTGCTCAGTATCTGGCAGATGAAAGTACTGAATATTTACAAAACAAATAATTCATTGAGTTCAGGGTGGTTTGGAAGGGCTGGCATGATATATCTAAAGATATTGCTCCTTTGTGGTCACAGCACTAGATCAGAACATACTATCATCGGTTTGTGATGGTTGACTATCCTAGGAACCTGGCTCACACTGTCTCACTCATGTAAGACCGAATTGTATACCCGAATGACAGTTTTTAAAAGTTTTGGTGATGGTTATCATACACGAAAGAGCAATTTCATGGGACCTTATTTGGGAATGCCAGTGGCTCCTTCCGTTACTTAACACTGTGATGGGACAGGACTGTGCATCTTTGGTTTTGTGGGTGTTGCCATCAGTGAGCTCCTGCAGAACAGAGGTGGTTTCCTCCATGTGCAGGTGCTTTGGACTCACTCATTCCAAATGTCCCCAGGGCCATGGTATGGAAAGGGAGTCGTCTTAGTGTGTAGGATTCCACAAGATAGAAAGCCACAGGAGGGCAGATATCTCCCCCACAGAACAAAGAACCTTTAACTATAGAAACTGCCTGGACGGGGCCAGCAGGTGGTGTGGTGGTTAAGAGGCTGAACTCCCACATAATCGACCATGGTTCAAGTCCTGGACCTGGTGGTTTGAAAATCACTCTGGGTACATGTGCATGAGGGCCCAAACTCCTAGGAGGAGAATGGAAAAAAAAGCTGTCTAGACATAATGGGCCACCCCTGGGGTAATGAGCAACCCTTATTATTTGTGTGCTAGAGACAAGCCCTGGGAAGGGATATTTGGAGGGAGACAGACCTGGGGAGACTTTGGGATCCCTTCTAATCCCAAGAGCCTGCCTATGTCTCACTCACTCGAGGACCACGGAGCTATGCTTTGTACCCACACCACACCCCCCTCAAATGACTCTGGAAGACAGATGCCAAATTACCCATCAGTAGAACATGACATCAGCTTAATTATTTAAACCGTAATGATGGTCTGATGGGTGGCCCGTGCCATTTCTTGGAATTGATGATGTTATTAGCACCGCTGTCACTACCTTCCTTTTTCGATCTCTCGGTAATGTGCATCTATGTTGGCATGAGCGTAAGCGTGGCCTAGTGATGTGGGGAGACCACAGTGGCCCAAGGAGTTTGAATTATCGAGTAGAATTTGAAATGGTTCATTCTTATTATAGTAAGATCCTCTGAGTTGATTCTGGTATCTGAGGTTGGTTTTGCATGAGTGTCTGGGAAATTTCACATTTCACTTTTTCCTCCCCAAATCAGCATCACGCCCACCCCTCTCGGAGAAGGGAAGAGCACCGTTACGATTGGCCTTGTGCAGGCCCTCACCGCGCACCTGAATGTCAACTCCTTTGCCTGTCTGAGGCAACCTTCCCAGGGACCGACTTTTGGAGTGAAAGGTATCTTATTTAATAAATAGCGTATTTCTCTGAGCAAACTTTAGGGAAGAACTTCAAGAGAACATGACCAGCAGACATAGAGTTAAAACTTCTCAGAGCAGCTGGTATGGTTCATCGCTGAGAACTCCTCCTCCCTGCACATTCAGTATATCACAGTCACCCCAAAGTTGTCTTCCTGAGCTTGAAGACAAGCCAAGGGGCTATGGGCCCTTCCTGGAGTTCTGCAGGAAGCCCATTTCCCGGCCTCTGCTGCTCGGGACACCGCCTGAGCAGGAGTCTTCTGTGTCATCGGAACCTTCTTTACCAAGTGAGCTTGGAACTCTGCCATTCATGTTGGCACTTCAGCCTCCCAGCCTGGTGAAAGGTCTTCCGCTTAAACAGATAGACATCCTTTTGGTCGGCCTCTCCGTCTCAGCTGATTGGAACTGCCTCTGGAGACTGTGGACAGGGAGTTGTGAAATTCCTCTCCTAGGGCTGTGGTTGGGCCGATGTCTGGCGCCTTCACATTCATTACTCTTTCTTCATTGGTTTGCCATGGTATCATTCCTTAGCTCACTGTACAATAGCCTTTGTTGCTACAATTACTGTTCGTTCTCGGCACTTTGGGGTGACTAGCAATCCTGTATTTGTATTACAGTTACAGATATTAATAACTCGTAGCTCATTAAGTACTGGTAGCTCGTGCAGTCTCATACATTACGTAGCAAAATGAACAGGTAAGGCTTGGCACGAGGAGGGCCGGAGGTCTTCTTCAGGCCATGGTGCTTCTCTCTGTGCAGCCTTTAGCCAGTTGTAGCTCCCCTGAGCCACCTCTGTAAAAGGGTGAACGGGCATTGAGTATCAGGCTCGCTGGGTGGTTGTGAGACCCAGGTAAGTAGCAAAGAAGACCAGTACAAACTGGAAAGGGATACACTCGGACGGATGGCATCATTGTTTTAGGAAAGACACATCATTTGAATATATTAGTATTAATGTTTTCAAAGATAGGCCCTGTGACAAACCTAACTTCATATTATCTCACATAGATCGGCAGAGGTTTATCATTTGGACATCTGGGTGTTGACAGGTGTGGGGATTTTTGTTTGTTTGTTTGGGGTTTTTTTTTTTAGAGAGGTTTTTCCTATAGGGTGTATTTCCCCACTGGAGAGAAAAAGAGAGACAGAGACAGAAAGTGAGGAATCATCCCTCCAGAGGAGATGATCCATATCCCTTCTCCTTCATCCTCCTCTTAGGATTTTGGGCACTCATGCACACGCACCTGGTGTGAGTTTTAAGCCTCTAGGTCTGGGACCCAAACCATAATCAGCCATGTGGGAGTCCTGCAATGTGACCATTATGCCATCTGCTGGTCCCTATAGGTGAAACCCAAAGTTTTCTGAACCAAAATTTTCTGGTATTTCAATGCATGTATGATATATATAAAACACAGCCACATGGACCTAATCATAAATTAATGAAATAACCTCATGCTATATGTTTTGCAGGAATGGCATTTGTTATATTATGTTTACTGTTGTTTTTTAAACAGATGAAGTCCTTAAGTTGCATTTTATTTCACTTCTGTTCTGCTCAAAATAGTGACTGTCTCATCACCTGTTATTTTGCCTTGGCTTTGCTCCCTCCTTGCTGGGTGTGGGGAGCTGGGTCCCCGGGACTCGGTCCTGTGTAGCTGGCCACGGCGACTCATGTCAAATGCCATTTGCTCTCTTGTTTAGGAGGTGCGGCAGGTGGCGGGTATGCCCAGGTCATCCCCATGGAGGAGGTAAGAACATGAAGAGGTGCACGTTGTGAGTCACTGCATTTCCCTCCTGCCATGTCTGTCTCTGCTTCTGTAAAAACAGGTCCATACTCCTTTGTCCATAGTCCCAAGGTCCTGAAAACCAAGCTATTTGCGTAACTCCTGTGGGAGTAAAACCTGATGTTAACTGTGAGGGGCTCTGTATGGGTTTTGTTTAGGCTCCTTGGAATGAATATTCACATATTTTCCTGTAGAAATCTTATTTTTGATGAATGGGTGCTGACCTGCCCCCTGCTTGGGGTGTTTTATAAATAAATTCAGTGTCTATCACATGACCATTCTTAATTCCAACAAATCCCGAATCCCCAAAAGCATTTGTTCCGAGAGTTCTGGATCAGTGACTGTGGACCTGCATCTCCACCTTTCGTGTGCTCTGTCGCCAAGTGGGGGAAGATGTGGATGCCTCACTGCTTTCAGCGAAGACTCCGAATAAGAGAGTCCCAGAGATGAGGGCGCGTGCTGGGGCGGCAGTAAAGTGCAACACTCTGCCTGGTTGCCCCACACGGGACAGTTCCCGGTTCATGTCTGGAGACCACCCTGAGTCTGCCCCGAGTACACAGAGACACACAGGCCATGATCTGGGCTTGCTGAGGCTGGCATTGGATTGTGGCCTCGAGACCTTCTTGGGAGTGCCTGTCTCTCTCTCTCTGTGTCTCTCTCTTCCTGTCGCACTCATGGAATAAATACATGCACTTCAAAAATGTAATCCTGGAACCAGCAAATGGTGTAATGATTTCATCACTGGACTCCCACAGAGTTGGCTGTGTTTCGATTCCGCGACCCAGCAGCTTAAAACTCACTCCAGATGCGTGTGCGTGCATGCCCAAGATACGGAGAGGAGAATGGAGTAGAAGGAATTGCAGTGTGGCCATCATCCTTCGTGGGGGGTGATTTCTCTGTCTCTCTATCGCTTTGTTCTCTGTCTCTCCAGCAAGCACTCCTGCCCTATAGCAAAAATCTCTCTTAAAAAAAAAGTTCCAGAGAAAACTTGACCAGAAAAATGTTGGTGGTATCAGTTCTTACTTCTCTAAGAACTTCTGTGTCCTGTGTAACCTCCCGTTGTCCTCCATATCTAACCAATGACCAGTTTTCACCATTACTGCTTGCTGTGTCAGTCTTAGTTCAGGTCCCGAAGGACCTCCTAAACTCAGTCTGAGCAAATGGCTTTCCTGTTTGTGGTTTCAGCAGTCCCTGTCCCTCTCTAGCAGAGCATGGTGGCCCTGGTGGACCTCTGTTCCTGCTTTACTCCCTGCATCTCCCATCTGCATCCCTCTTTCCACCATTCTTGCAGATTCCTGCCCTGTTTTCTCAGGGCCAGATTTGTCCTATGCATGGTGTGTTCTTTTGTTCCTTTTCTGCCCTCTCTATCCGGCTTAGGTTCTGTTCTCCAGGTTCCACTCCTCCCCACATATTCTCCTTCTACCATGTATTATGGCCGTCTGGTTCAGTTAGCCCTGGTTAACTGAAGGCCTTTTTTGAAATCATAGGTCCCAGCATTTAGCAGAGGGCCCCACCTGTAAGAGGTGGTCACTGAGAATATTTGTTGGCTTTGTGGAAGAAGTAGGAGTACTTACCTGGGAGCCTGAGTATCAGGGATGGTAAGGAGAAAACTCAGATACACTTCAAGTGAGAAAGAGTATTCTAGGGCACTGCACAGAAAAAGAGTCTCAAGCTTCTGATCTGAATGAGAATGATTCCCAACCCAGAGCCAGGGGGCCAGTGTGGGTGTGAGGTTTGAAGTGCAGTGGCTGTGGGTCTGTTTGTGGGGTGATCATCAGAGGAAAAGACTCTCCGAGGCCAATGGCGGATGTCAGATAGACAACTGGAAAGAAAATCCTACATTCCATTGTAAAATGGCCCCAGGCTTCCATAGAAACATCAGAAAAGAAATGTCAACTGACCGATGAACGCTTGTCTTGGCTAATAATCAATTCTACATCAAAGTCACTATTATCATTAAAATGTTTTTCAACTTTTTTCTTAAGTAAGTATTTAATTTTATTATCATTGTCATTTTAATTTGCTATAGAGTACATGTACTTGCCCAAGAGAGGAAAAGTGAGAAAGCATACCACCAGGTTGGGGACTTGAACCACATTCCACTGTGTGGGAGTCAGCACTTTAACCACCACACCACCTATGGGCCCCCCAAACGGTTACCATTTTACTTGTCAAATTGACAGAGTTGGGACTTTTCAAAATAATAATGCCAATTTTTGGCAGAGAGATTAGGTTATACCCTCACACGCTCCTGGGAAGTGTGTGTTGATGAATGTCTTCTGCACAAGAGTTACACTATGTAGCCAGTGTCTTCAAAACATTCAGACCCTTTGGCCCAAGTAAATTCATTTTCAGTTTATTGTAAGGACAAATGGATGTGTGTTCAAAGATTTAATTTTGAAATTAAATTCACATAGTTTATAGCAAGAAAAAAAAATGGAGGCCAAAATGAAAATATCTGAACATTGGATATAAATTTACTATAGAAATAGAGTGAGTGAGTTTTGTTTTGTTGTTGTTGTTTTTGTTTGTTTGATGTTTGCCATAGGGCATGTTTGCTCACTGGAGAGAGAGACACAGTGGGAGGGAAAGTGAGAAATGATCCCCCGCAGGAGGTCGTCCATGTCATGATGCCTTCTCCGTTTTCCTCCTGGGATTCTGGGCATACATGCACACGTGCCTGGTGTGATTTCAACCCACCATATCTGATACTCAAACTGCAGTCAGCCGTGGGGAAGTCCAGTGCCTTAACCACCATGCAACCTGCTGGCCCCCAAATTGTCTTTTTTTTGAAGACTATTTAAGGATGTAGAACACTACTGTTATTGCCATTAAGTATAAAAGCTAAGAGATCATCTATTGTGGTACTATGATTCCAATATTTAAAATTATAAATATATTTTATAAAATAGCCATTCATATATTTTGTTTTTTTCTCCAGTGAACACTGTTTATAAATTATAAAGTAAAATTTTATGAGGAAAATGTGTTTAACATTTCAAGAAATGAAAGAACTGTTGCTTAAAACAGAACATCACTTTCTCAGCAACTGAATTATTCTTTTAAATATATCTTTTATCAAAGAATTATTTTATTTAACTTTATTTGTTTATTTTAATTTGGCCAGTGAGAGAGAGATGGAAAGAAAGAAAGCAAGTCGCCAGGTCCAGGACTCGAACCATGGTTGGCCATATGAGAGTCCAGTGACCCTATTCACCATGCTACCTGCTGGCCCCTAAATAGATCTTTTTAAGAATTATTTTATGTATTATTATTTAATTTATCCAGAGAGAGACACAGAGAAAGAAAGGGAAAGTGAGAAAGGAAACCACCAGGTTCAAGACTCGAACTGCAGTCAACCATGTGGGAGTCCAACACCTTAACCACCACGCCACCTGCCGGCCCCAAATTATTATTTTTTTACTTCTGAGGTTGTTTTGTTTCTGACATAGCTGATCTACAAGTGTTTTGTAGTTGTCACTTCATCCTGTTCTAAAAGTAATCTGTTGAAATTATCAAGGTTCATAAACCGAATAGCCACACTCCTACAAATCTATTGTTTATTACCCATTACTTGTTTTAAAAAGGCAAGCTCTTTGTACATACTTTTTTAAAAATTTTCTTTGTAAAAGTGAAAATTTGGAACCAATTTACTTACTTAGAATTTATATAGGAGGTTGAAAATTTTGATGCGTCTATCTGATTTTACAGCCCCTATGAACTGTAACTATACACAAATAAGATTTTTATAGAATAATATTTTTAAAAAAGAAAGTTCTAAATCATAAGTATGCTGATTCTACAAATAATAATCTGTGCATGAGACTAGAAGGAAAACAATTAATAGGGTCGTAAGGGTGATACATTTTCTTCCTTAAACTTCCAGCAGTATTTTATATTATTCTTTTGTTACTATATTTATTTTATGCTCTGGTTCATTCCAGAATATATTTGATATGATACCATTTTTGAAATAGTAAAACAATTCATAAAAGTGAGTGAAAATAAGGAAACTAACCATTAAGTCCATCAGAAATTTTCACCCTGAACCTGAGATTGGAAGAATTTATTGATCAAGGTCTTTCTTGTTTTGTTTTGTTTTTAGGTTTACGCTATAGGGCATGTGTGTTCACCAGAGAGAGACAGAGAGAGGAAAGTGAGAAATCCCCTAGGGGGTTGGCCATGTAGGGATCCCTTCTCTTCCATTTTTGTCTTGGGGTTTTTGGCACGCGTATGCACCAGGTGTGACTTTCAAGCCGGGGCTCCCACCACGGTCAGCCATGGGAGTCCAGTGCCCAAACCATCACTCCCCCTGCTGGCCCTCTGGTCATGGGTTCTCTGTTGTCCAGTCAAGACTTGACTTTGACTTTCTGAATTGGGTTGTTGTATAATGACTCAGCTCATTGTAAGGATATGTAATTATTACATTATTTGCTTATTTAGACAAGCCTTGAATAGGCCATAGTCGTTTGAAATTAATAATCGTAAGATATCTTGTTCCATTTGTAGTTCAACCTTCATCTGACTGGGGACATCCATGCCATCACTGCTGCCAACAACTTGCTGGCCGCTGCCATCGACACAAGGATTTTGCATGAAAGCACTCAAACAGATAAGGTGAGAAAGATGCCACGGGAGCCACACTGGGCAACTTATCCTGGCATTCTTGGATTCTTAAGGAGTTCGCAGAAAGACTCTTGGAACTATCAACTCTGAAATTTTATTTAGAAATTTGTGAATTTTCTGTATGCCCTTATTTTCTGAAGAAAGGATCTGTACTTGGATCACATTCTCAGATGAGTTTATGACCACTGCCAGACTGTTGGGAGAAACAGTCTTTGAGATGCTTAGTTTTAAAGGTAGCTGGTGGACCAGTTGTCTTCGTTCTGGCTAAAGTCCATAGAGGGTTAGATAGATATCTGTTTAAGCCTAATGCTACACACGGTTCTCCTCTATGTGCTATTAAAGAGAGGCCCTCATTGGCTTTCATGCAACCTACAAAAAAGGACAGAATACCAGGTACTAATTCTTCTCAGATGTAAGACATGGATGAAAGTTGTACACTCTGGTGAAGGTCCTGACTTTCTTTAAAGTAATTCCCTAGTGAGTCTTTGGAGCAAAATCAAGAGGAATATTAATTTGATATTTGTAAGGTTATAGATCAAGAGAAATATTTATGTGAACTCTTTGCAATGTGCATTATTTCAGATCTAGTCAATGTTATTCAAATGACAGAATTTAAGTCTACATTGTTTATATTAGCCTCCAAACTTTAATAGAATCTGTACTCTAAATAGTTAGGTTACAAATGTAATGAACTTTGTCATATCCTGTGAATTGTCCAAGTTTATGATTGGCCCTTAAACTTTTGCATGGTTTTATTATTTTATTTTTAGGCTCTGTTTAATCGGCTGGTGCCTTTAGTGAATGGGGTCCGAGAATTTTCAGAAATACAACTTGCTCGACTGAAAGTAAGTTTCACTTAAGGGTTCTTCAAAATAAAATGTCCTAGAAACATATCAGGAAGATTGTCAAAGTTGAAAATTTTTAATTTGATGTGATTTGGGTTTTCTGATTCTCTAAGTTATCAAACTGTATGAGACAGGACAGCTTGAGACAGAGCACAGTATAATCATCCTGAAACCCAATCTTGCAGCAGGGAGCTGAGTGTGCAAATGAGTTAGCCTTTGTAGGTCTTCTTTATATAAGTAATGAGAGGGCTGGGGCCAGCAGGTGACATGGCAGTCACGCACTGGACTCCCACATAGCCGAACGCAGTTCAAGTCCTGGATCTGGTAGCTTGCTTTCTCACTTTCTCTCTTTTCTTTCTCTCTTTCTCTCTTTCTCTCTCACTCTGTAGTGTACATGCCTTATGGCAAATTAGCATAATAATAATAATAAGGAAATAATTATTTTTTAAAAAAAGAAATGAGAATGCCAAGATTTTATCTACAAGTTCTCTAGTGAGCTAAGTAATAATTTTATGAATCCTCTTCTGAAGAGAAGTTTTTGTTGTTGTTGTTTTCTTTTTTAATTTAAGTGCATGTGTGTTTGCCAGAGAAAGAGAGATTATCCTCGTGGAGCATGGTCACACTACAATCCCTTCTCCATTTCTCCTTTCCATTGGGATTTGGGACATGCACACACAAATGCCCAGCATGTTTTTCAGGCTCTAGGGCCAGGACGAGACAGCCAGCACAGGATTCCTTATTCAGTGTCGGCTGGGCTGCATTTCCGTGTTAAGAGTGTACTACAAATGTGCAGTGTTCTTTATGCACAGAAAATATTTGGATTTGGACCCTTATTTATATGATTTCATCTAATCCACAATTTACTCATAGTTTAATATTTTAAAATCCCTTACGAATTTTGGAGAAAATAAAATTAAGGAGGATTTTCTTAAAGTTATTTATTTATTTATTACTACTTTCATTATTTTTGCGTTTTGCTATAGGGCACATGTGCTCACCAGAGTGAGACAGAGAGACAGAAAGCAAGAAAGCAAGTCGCCAGGTCCAGGCCTCAATCCGTGGCCAGCCATTGGGAGTCCAGCACATCGACCGCCACACCACCTGCTGGCCCCAAGAGGGATCTTTTTTAATGTGATATTAATTGCCAGAGCACACATACACTCACCAGAGAGAGAGAGAGAGGGCAGGAGAAGGAGGAAGTTCTCCTCCGTGAAGAGTAGTCACGCTGCCACACTTTTTTCCTCCATTTCTCCACCCTGTCCGGATTTTTGGAACGTGAACTCAAGCAGCCAGCATGTTTTTCAAGCCACCAGGGCCAGGACTTGAACTGTGGGCTATCTTTGCTCTCTAGCTCCTAGTGCACCATGCCTAACCACTGTTGTATAGGGCCAGCCCCAGGGATTGTTTGTTTACCTTTTACTTTCTATTCTTTCTCAAACTCACCACATTTTTTATTCTTCATTATTAGAAACTAGGAATACATAAGACTGACCCAAGCTCGCTGACGGAAGAGGAAATGAGTAAATTTGCCCGTCTCAACATCGACCCCTCCACCATCACGTGGCAGAGAGGTGGGTGCTTGAGGACAGCGTGCACATGGCCTGCTTGGGAGGATACGTCTGAGCCCAGGGTCCTCCCACCCCGGGTGTTGTCATCTCACCATCCGTTCTGAGGGCTGCGGCCTCACCGTCCATTTCTCTTGTCCTCGCCTCCTGTTTGAACCAGTGGTCCTGTCTGAACTCAATGCCATCTACTCCCACCTCTTCTGGATTTCCAAAGAAAATTAGTTGGCCTTCACAGCTGTGTCTCCCCTTCATTGTCCTGAGCCCTGCCCTCACGTCTCCTCCTCTGGTCTGAGCGACTCCCTGGTTGGTGCCTTCAGTGCCAGGTGCTTTCTCCAAGTTCCTGTGTGCTTCCAACCGTTTACTCGGGATCCCCTCACAGTTCCAACGTGGTTCAAACGGACACCTTCCCTTTATGTCCTTCCCGGCTTCCCTGCGTCCCTCTAAGCTCTGATGTTCCCTGTGTGTGCACACACGCACACGCACACAGCCCTCTGTGTCCTTCGGTCTCTGCAGGGTGGGGTGAGGAAAAGTACTGCTCCAGAGGTGGGAGCCTTGGGTGTGTCTGTGCATGCGCTCAAACACACGTGTTCTTCCTGTCTCCACTGTGAGTCAGCGCCCTTGATCGGAGGCTGCCTTCTTCATCTTTGTACTTCTGTACAGCTCACCCAGCACTGGGACAAATAGGCCCTCGGCGTCTTCCGGAAATGAAGAACTGATTTTTTTCCACCATTAGCTTTGTCATTGAGAGCAGTGGTCCCCAACCATTTTGGCACCAAGGACTGGTTTTGTAGAAGACTCATAGTAGGGCGTGTGAGATCCTCCTATGAGAATCTCATGCTGCCGCTGATGGGACAGGCAGAGCTCGGGATGTGCATGCGATTGGGAGTGGCTGTAGATACAGGCGAAGCTTCATTCGTTCACCCACTCTTCATCTCCTGCCGTGTGGCCTCGTTCCTCGTAGCCTTGGACTGTCGTTGGTCTGTGGCCCAGGGATTGGGGACCCCTGACTTAGAGGCCAGGAATCTGACATGGGGTTACTTCCTGGCCTCTCCGTCTTTCATGAGTTGGGATTTAACCTTCTCACCTCTTCCCTATGTGTCCCTGACGCTGTCTCACATCTCTTTCCTGTACATAAAGTCCTGGTAGGTTGTGTGTCAGCATACTCTTCACGAACCGTGGTCAAGGCACAGGTGGGCTTTGAATGCCAGTATAGCTGATCTTGCCAAATTTCGGTTTGTTTTTTTTTTTAACTTACTTTTTCTTTACAAAAAAAAAAAAAAAAAAGAAGTTGTTGAATTTCTGTTGACTTTAAATACTTCTGATGGATGAAAAGTTTACTTCAATTTGGATCAATATTGTGTACACCACACATCACAAAAGGGGATTTTGGAGTTTTATGGAATTTTGTCTGTCTGATTTTTAGGTTTGTGTTTTTTTTTTTTTTTTTTTACTTAATATGTATTTTTTTTTTTTTTTTTTTTTTTTACTTTATGTGTACTTTATATGATTGTTCATACGTCTTGGGAATAAAAGTAGAAGCTAACAATGAGATGAGAAGCCATGTTTGTATTGGGGGTATACTCTGCTTCTATCTTCAAGTATAAAGCAGGTTTCTTTGTCTAAGAATCTGTGTGTGTGTTAGTGTCTGAGAACGTACATGTGTGTGAGGAGGAAGGCAGCGTCACAGAGAAGGAGGAGGAAGCCTCCGAGTGAGGGAACAATGGACTGTCTGGAAGCCGTGGAGGATCTGGGTGCTTTGTGTGTAAAGTAAAAGGTTAACGTTCTTTGTCCTTCAGATGCTGCCACTCCCCAGACACATTCCTTCCAGAACCATTTTCATCAGCGCCATCACATTATGCATCGAATAAGTTAGATCTAGGTTGTCACTGTGACTAGCTTGTTATTGGAAGCCACATAAATTATTAGTGAAGTCTGTCCTTCTGGCTTTGTTTCATGGCCTTGGAAATTTGGTTTTAACTAAATCATATTTAGGTTTTTTTAAATAATTATTTTACTTATTTAAATTTGATCAGAGAGGGACAGAGTGAGAATAAGAGCAGGAAAGTGATAAAGCAAGTCTCCAGGCCCAGGACTCGAATCACAGCCATGTGTGAGTCCAGTGCCCTTAGCCACCACGCGTCCTGCCAGCCCCTAAACCAAATTTAGTTTTCACAAAGAAAATCTAAATCATTGCAACGGAAACAAGCCTAGGAGGAGAAGAAAGCATTGAGGTATACGCTAAGCACGGTTGACTTCGTATCCCCACTGCTGCCTTGTTTATTTGGTTGTGGAATATCATCATAGCGAATCGTTCTAACCATTTGTGAAGTGTGCAGTTCAGTGATGACATCACCACTGTCCCAACCTCAAACCTTCTCATTATCACCAACAAAATCTCTGCACATGTTAAATAACAATCCCCCTTCTGCCCCTACTAGACACTCTTGCCGCTGTTCTGCTTTTTGCCTCTATGAGTTTGCCTATTTTAAATAACTCATATTAGTGAGCAAATCATACTGTATTTGCCCTTTGCGTCTGGCTTATTGTGCTATGTGTTGGTGTCCATCCATGTTGAAGCAGATCTAGAAATGTCCTTCCTTTTTGTGGCTGTATAATAGTCCATTGTAACTATGCCACATTGTATGCATCAGTTCACCTCTTGGTGGTTATTTTGGTTGCTGCCCCCTTGGAGCTGTTGCAGTGCTGCGCAAACACTTGGTATCCAAGTATCTGTTTGAGTCCATGGTTTTTTGTTTGTTTTTTTTTTTGAGAGAGAGATTTTTGCTATAGGGCGCGTGCGCTCGCCAGACAGACAGAGAGAGACATAGAGACAGAAAGTGAGAAATCACCCCCCAGGGGGGATGGTCACGCCGCAATCCCTTCTCCTCCATTCTCCTCTCGGGATCTTGTGCACGCACGCACACGCGCCCGGCGTGAGTTTTAAGCCACCGGGTCCGGGACGCGAACCGCGGTTGACTACGTGGGAGTCCAGCGACATAGCCATTACGCTAACTGCTGGTTCCCGAGTCCATGGTTTCTATAGTTTGGGGTATATACTTAGGAACCAAATTGTTGAGGGTCATGTGGTTGTTCTGTTTAACCTTTGAGAAGCTGAATTGGTTTCTTCTTGTGACTTGGGATTTAGTGTACGCCATCGCCACGTTAGAGATATCTTTCCTTGTTGCTTAGTTAGAAAGGGCTTTTCCTCACCCCTCCTTCTCCTCAGGCACGTCCTGGCCCCCTTGTGTATTATGTGGGGCGCTGTCACTACTGGGTGTTTCCCTCTAGATCTGATTCCTTCTCTGTCCATGTCCTAGCCGTGGCATGCTGGTCCTTCCTCTCCTGCCCTCCGCCCCGCCGTCTGAGCAGCACCAGATGCGCATCAGGCCACCCATCCGTCTTTGTTGATTGAATGAGTCACCTGATCTCTTCCCTTTCAGTATTGGATACAAATGACCGATTCCTTCGAAAAATCACCATTGGGCAGGCAAGCACAGAGAAAGGATGTTCCCGGCAGGTAGGTGGCACTTTCTTCCCGGGGTGGGTCTGTTCTGCTCTTTCTCAGCTTTCCCGTCTCATCCGCCCTGTGCAGGGGCCGCTGTTCCCCATCGTCTCAAAGGTGTCTCCAATCTCTCAGCAGGGCTGGGAGCCGGCCGGGAGGCAGGAAGGCTCTGTGTGTTCCTATCATCCTTTCCGTGTATGTTTTCAGCATTGTTTCTGGGAAGAGGCAAGCAGGGAATCCCTTGACTAGAAAGTCCTGTGTATTTTATTGGAAACCTCCCCAGTGAATACTCCGTCTCCGTCATCACTGAGAAATGAAAACCTCAAACGTGTTACACTGATTTCATAAACCAAAGAACAGACAGCTAGTTATGAGGTTGACTAGCATGATTGTGTGTGTGTATATGTGTGTGTGTGTGTGTCTATGTTTCTTTTTTTAATTTTGCCAGAGGGTGCAACTGTTGACTGGAGAAAGACAGAAAGACAGAGAGAGTGAGAAAACACTCCCCATTGGGGACTGGCCACGCCACAATTCCTTCTCCTCTCTCTCCATCTTTTCAGAATTTGGGGCACACTCACACTAAGTGTGCACACCCGGCATGTTTCTGAAGCCTTTGGGTCCAGACCTTGAACTGCTTAGCGGGCTATGTGGGATCCAGCTGCTGTAACCACCATGCCATGCCCTGGCCCACATGAAAAGTTTTTAAAAAATAATAGCCTGTTACCCAAATATTGAGAATGTGGAAGAAAATGATGATGTCTGCCTTCATTTGACTAGGTCTCTGATGTGGCTCAGTGACACTTAGGGAATATCAACTTAGTCTATGGTTTTTATTTTTAGCCCAGCATAGTAGGCCTTGAATTTTTTCTTTTTGGATACACACACACACACACACACACACACAAACTTTGGATTTCAGTTTAGTTTCAGATTCATGGCCTTTACATTAACTTTTTTTTTTTCCTTTTTTTGGAGAGGTTTTTGCTATAGGGCACGTGCACTCGCCAGACAGACAGAGAGAGACAGAGAGATAGAAAGCGAGAAATCACCCCCAGGGGGGATGGCCACGCCGCAGTCCCTTTTCCTCCACTCTCCTCTCGGGATCTAGGGCACGCATGCATATGTGCCCGGCATGAGTTTAAGCCACCGGGTCTGGGACACGAACTGTGGTTAACTACATGGGAATCCAGCGACATAGCCATTACGCTAACTGCTGGTCCCTACATTAACTTTTTATTATTAAAAATAAGAGTCACTTTTCCTGTAATAACGAGTCCTCGTAAAGTAAACTCTGAGGCCTTCTGAGATACTTTGAACTGAGAAGTGGATATAGGGATTGAATCAAGAAGGGAAGGGAAGCCCCTGAGCCTCCCTTGTGTCTGCAAATTTCGAACTGTTTGTCAATATCGAGGCTAGAAAACTAGTCATTTCCATGAAGTTTGGGACATTCCCAAAAGGTAGGAAGATGGAATTTCATTGATGTAAAAACAGAGAGCCCAGACTATGGTGGGAATGTTTTAGAGGTCTCTAAACTCAGAGGCAGTAGGAACCCCTGTTGTTCAGATGCAGGAAAGGCCGTGTGCTTCTCAGGGTTAATGACTGCGGACAGCTCCCAAGGAGCTGATGGGCAGGGACCTTCTCATGGCACTCGTGCAGTGCCACGGCCCGGGGTGTGACGTGGTCCCGAGGCCTGTGCCCAGCGTCTCCGCCCAGCCCGGGGGTGCCACTCACGTTGGTGGCAGATTTGTACGTGTGCTGTGCTTCCTGTCTACCGGGTGTCATGAGAAATCTCTTGATCAAGGAAAAGCGGCATGTGGTGACGTTGTTGAGGCAAAGGCAGCCTTTTGCCATTTGTACAGAGGACACCTAAGGGCTAACAGTGGCCCCGTGAGAGCCAGGATGGGAAGCCGAGGAGTGGTATGACTTGCCCTCTTGACTCTGTAGATATGCAAGGGATGTCGGCAGTCAGGTGCACAGGCGAGCAGAGAAGGGTCACAAAGCCATAGTCGCCAAACTCTCAGCCCTGCGTTGTGAACACCAACACCGAATTCAGAGAGGTGCTTGTGTGGAAGAGAACCCCGAGGGACACATTCTGAATCAGGTGGAAGAGTTGTTGAGAGGACGGCCCTCAGTATTTTCAGAGATGAAGAGAGCGCTCATGTCTGAGAAGGGAGGATTGTCTTAGACTCGTGGAACTAGAGCCAGCCAATGGCATGCTGGTTAAAACAGCTGGATCCCACACGGTCGTCTGTGTGGTTCAAATCCCAGACCCAGCACCTTGAAAAACACACAGGCTATGAGTGTTTGCGTGTTCAAAATCCCAAGGAGAGAATGAAAGAGAAGAGATTGCTATGTGGCCATCCCCCGTGAGGTGCTTTATCACTTTCTCTCTCTCTCTCTTCCTCTCAAGTAAGCATACATGCCCTATAGTCAACTTGTTAGTAATTGCAGAAATAAAGCTATGGCTGGCTGTCAAAATATAAATCCAGCTAATGAGCTGAATAGTAGAATAAGCTTAAGTGAATTAAGAGAAGGCCATCTGAACATAATTCAAAAGGGAACACATTGAAAAAAATAGAAGGAAACTTAAAGAGACATAAAACACACTCCAGGAACTTCTAACAGCATTATCAGGGGTTGCGAAGATGGTAACAGAGAATAGAGGAGGGAATATACTAGAGGAAAAAAAAATTAAAAAAGGAATTTCTGGCAAGTCAGAACAGGATGAATGGAGAAAGAATTAGACCCAGGTAGGTCATTGTTATTTCAGGATACAAAGAGTTAAAAAATCATTGTTCAGAGATGCCGGAGAGAAAAGCTTCCAATTAGTCACCAAGGAATCCGGATTCTTAGCAGCAACACTGAATGTGGGGTGTCCCTGGGAAAAATGTGTGGCTCCTTCGGCAGGGAACACACAGTAGCAACAGTGCAGCATGCCAGATAGAAGATACAAAATAAACTTTCTGGAAGCAGTTTCCGTGCATGTGACGTCTCACCGACATAAAATAAAAGGCAGATACTATAAAGGAAAACCCGGATGATTTTGAAATACTAGGACAGTGAAATCTTCAGTATTGAAAAATGACACCTCTACAAAATGACACATACAGGCTTAGCCAGTGATGTGTGGTTGTTAAGGTGGCTGAATCCCACATGTCCAACTGCTCCGTTTGAGTCCTGACCAGTGGCTTGAAAAAGCCTCCAGGCACATGTGCATGTGTGCCCACAATCCTTAGAGGAGAATGGAGAAGAGCCAGTGTGATGTGACCACTTCCACACTCCTGCCTCCTCCCCACAAGCCCTACACCTGTCTTTCTCTGGCAAGAACATGCACCCTGTGGCGGGGGTGAGGGGGGGAAAGAGAGAGCGCGTCTAGAAATTGATACCCAAGTATTGTTCTCTCAGTAACAGCTTTCTTGGCCACCTTTAAGACTGCCGTGGCTCGTCCCAAGCTCCCTCTCTTCTCTCCCACCGAGGTGCATCCTTATCACACATTCCTGCCATAGAGTATGTTTACTCTCAGCCTCCCCTTCGAAATGGACTAGAGCAGCCCTCTATTGTGGGTATCTGTGGGATTCGGCTTCCTTACTTTTAGGCCACAGACCAGTCCAAATTTATTTGATTTTTGATGTTGCACAAAATGCACAATGTTTAAATTTTGCTACAGTGACAAATGAGAAACTCGTATTTGTGTTATCAATTCTACTTATTATTTACAGTTAGTATTACAGAAATACTTCCAGCCTCATATTTTCTACAGAAAACTTTCAATATTTTTAGCCATTTTCCTATATGCACTGTTTATAATGGAATGGTGGTATAGAGTCCTAAATTTCATATAATGAAAAAATCGCTTGTGTTTGGAATGCGTTTAACTGAGAACATAATAACTGAACATGGTTGTTTGTGACTTTCAGGTAATAATTTTTCACTAAGTCACTGACTCGTGATCTCAACCAGGAAATAGGCTGAAAGCTCACCCTTTTCTTCATTTCCTCACTTGGCGCTGTTGGAAATGGATAATAGAACATCTCGTTAGGTGATCCCACCAGGGCATAGCCGCTTTTCCCCTCTGGGTAGGCTTGAACTTGTCTGGCTCACACTCCCCTTGGGGAGAAGAGAATTAAGCTGGAGCGTAATGAAGTGGTTTCGTCCGGAGAGACCTTCTGAGTGGCTCAGTTACGAGGAGGAGGAAGCGTGCATTCCTCGTGTCCCTCCTGGTTCCTGTTGGACTCGTACAACCTGAAATCAGACCCCAGAGGAGGAATAATAAAGAAGGCCTAGAAAGTTTCCCCAGAGTTGCTGCTTTCCAGCTTTTGTTGCTGGGAGCTTTGGGACCTGATGTGGTAATACTTGCCGGCAGCTGGAAATGGATTCCCTGCCGTCATTTGCCTGGAGGCATCCTCACTGGCAGGTTGAGCGCTGACTCTCATAATCTGGCCTAGGTGCAGGAAGCCGGCAGGGCCATCTTTCATGTCTGCTTGTCGTCTTTCCTGGACAGATAAATGCGGCCTCCTCGCCCAGTCACTTGCTGACAGCGTAGGTCGTCGGTAGGCTTGTCATCGGTTCTGTTGACATGTGTCGGGTATCTGCTGGGCAGGCACAGTCCTCCAGGCCCAGGGTTCAGAAATGAACCTTCCAGTATGGTTCCTGCTTTCATGGCTCTTGCAGTCCAGTGGCTGAGACACTCGTAAGACAGACAATGGCCTTGTTGGGGATTTACCAGTAAGACATGCCACAGCAGTGGCCAGGCTGTATTGTGAGTAGGTATGACAGGCCCTAACGCAGGTGACTCCCACTCAGCAGAGCACAGTGCAGGGCATGGCAGCCCTGGGGAGGCCACCCTAGACAGCACCCAATACAGCACCCTTTGTGCTTAAGACACGCGGTCATGAATGCAACATGGATGTTTGAGAATAACCCCAGGCCGCAATCCCTCATTGCTGAAATTCACCCCGTTTTGAGAATGACTGTCCCACGAGCTCTGTGCTGATCACTACCTTTGGTTCAGGCACAGTTTGACATCGCAGTGGCCAGCGAGATCATGGCGGGGGTGGGCCC